GGTGGGGGTGGGGGTGCTTCTTGCTCAGATTTTGCCCCTCTGCTTGGCCCAGGGAGGGAGATGCGGCTCCCATCAAGGCCTGTCCTCCCCTAGAGTTTGCACAGATAAATCTGAAGTGCGACAGGGTGGGCTTGGGGGAAGCTAGGAGGAGGGTCTGGCCAGGCTTGCACTGCTCTAGGCAAAGCCCAGGTTTGGATGATCCAGAATTCCTAGCTCTGGGAGCACCGCATCCCTGGGGGCTCAGGCAGCCTCCTAGTTCTCTGCCAGTCACTGAAGGACACCCAGGACAGTTATTGAGTGCAGAGCAGGGCTGCTGTTGGAAGCTAAAAAGGGAAAGCTTTGGCCTGGATAAGGGACCCATCTCCCAGGGCACACATGGGTCTCAGGATCTCAAAGCAGTATGTCTGGAGGACACAGGGGCACAGCCTCTGCACTCCCACATCAGCTGGAGGCATGGGCAGGCAGCACCCCCTTCCCTACAGCCCCCATTCCTGGGCAGGGATCTCTTTGCTGACCGTGAGATGGCATGGGAGCCTGCCACAGACAGCCTGGGCAGAGGGGCAGGCTGCTCTGAGGCCCTGAGATCTTGGGTGCCAGCCTCCCCACTGCCCCCTGCGTTTGCAGGCCAGGCCCCAAGAGGATGTGGAAACCCCACCCACGGGCCTAGGGGAGCCAGAGAAACAGCAGAGGGTGCAGCAGCTGGTAAGTCCCAGGTCAAGGGCTGGAGGCGACCAGTTTTGGGCAGGTCTGCCTTCTCACATGAGGAGCCCTTGGTTCCGACCCCGCAGGAGTCAGAGCTCAGCAAGAAGCGAAAGAAATGCGAGAGCCTGGAGCAGGAAGCCCGGAAAAAGCAGAGGCGATGTGAGGAGCTGGTGAGCTCCCGAGGGCCTCCCCGAGGCCAGCCAGGTGGTGGGCTCCCTCTCAGCTCTGCTTTCACCCTTCTTGTCCTTCGGGGCTCTCCTGTCCTGTTTGGCGCAGGGTCCAGGTGGGGGAGGAAGACCTTGTCTGGGAGGGCAGGGTCCTCTGTGTGGGGAGAGGAGGGGTGTAGGTGCCAGACCCCCGCCCAGAGCTCCCCTGGTCTCTCAGGAACTGCAGCTGAGAGAAGCCCAGAATGAGAATGCCCGCCTCGTGGAGGAGAATTCTCGGCTCAGTGGGAGAGCCACGGAAAAAGAGCAGGTAGCGGTTCTGCCCACGGGCTGTGGGGCTGGGCTTCGCTGGGGCCCTGGTCCCTGGGCAGGGGGCTGTCTTCTGTGTCCCCTGAACTGGGCCAGAGTATGAAGGGTACTATTCCCCCTGGTGAGGGAGCTGCTGGGACGAGGCTCACACACCCAGCTCCCTGCCACTCCCCCCTCTCCAGGTGGAGTGGGAGAATGCAGAGCTGAGGGGCCAGCTCCTGGGGGTGACACAGGAGAGGGACTCGGCCCTTCGCAAGAGCCAGGGCCTGCAGAGCAAGCTGGAGAGCCTGGAGCAGGTGCTGAAGGTGAGGAGATTGCATAGGTGGGGGGAGGGTCTTGGTCCCTGATGCAAGGAGAAAGTGGGACGGTAGAACGTGCCCTATGTGGGGCACTGGGGTCTGAGCCCCAGTCCTGGCACCACCAGCCTTGCCCCTCTCTGGCCTCAGTTTCCTTCTTAACAGAAGGCATCTGGAACACATGGTGTCCAGAGCTCCCACATCTTAGATCTACAGAAATGGTGGAGCCGGGCTCTGGCCTTGACCCAAGGTCTTGTGTTTTAGCACATGCGGGAGGTGGCCCAGCGGAGGCAGCAGCTCGAGGTGGAGCATGAGCAGGCTCGGATCAGCCTGCAGGAGAAGCAGGAGGAGGTCCGGAGGCTGCAGCAGGTGGGGGCAGGGGTGAGGGAAGGGTGGTAGGCTGCTGGACTCCTCAGTCAGCTGCTTATCCAGTGAGCATTTACTGAGCACCCACTGAGTGCTAGGCTTTGTGCTAGGCACTGGGGACAGCGGTGGGGAAAGATCAGGTCCCAGGCCAACCAGCAAATAAGCAGATATGCAAGTGAGGCAACCCCAGTCACTGACGGGCCCTGGTGGGGGGAAGTGAGCAGGGTGGTGTGACGGAGTGACTAGGGTGGGGCCAGGGGCCACTTTAGAGAGGTGGGCAGGGAAGGCCTCTAATACGTTAAGGGTGTGAGGGAGCCGGCTGAAGAGCACTCCAGGTAGGAGAGTTGAAGCGCAAATGCCCTGTGGCAGGAAGAGCACGGGGGTCCAGACCAGTTGGCTAGATTATAATAGGTTAGAGAACAGCAGGAATAGGCAAGAGCCAGAGCTTGTCGGGCCTTAAAGAAGAGTGGGTATTTTGTTCTCTGAGGGGTTGGAAACTGTTGGAAGGTCCCAAGCAGGGGAGTAGCATGATCTGATTAATCATTTTAGAAGATCACATGAGCAGCACTGTGGAGGGTGGATTGGGGGAGTGGGTGAGGAGGCAGGTGGTCAGGTGTTGGGGCTGCTGCAGTTCAGGAGGGAGATGACGGCCGTCTGGATGAGGGTGCAGGCGATGCAGGTGGAAACAAGTGGAAGGATTTGAAGTATATTTTAGAGATGGAATTGACAAAACTCCATAGGATTCTAGTGGAGCTCCTGCTTCTTTTAGCCATTTGCTGAGTAAACCCTAATGGAGTGTGGGGCTCTTCACTCTCTAGGAGGTGATGGATGAAGGGGCAACAGGTGTGAGAGTTAGGGAGTCCTGAGTTCTGAGCCCTGTCTTGGCTGAGTTTGGGTTATGTGTTAAACATACAAGTGGACACTTCAAAGACAGTTGGATCTATGGGTTTGGAGTCATGGGGAAGTTGGTCATGGAGATAGGGTTCGGAGTCATCAGTGTGTCCAGTCGTGTGACTAGATGGGACTCCTTGGGAGAGCAAAGAGTGTAAAGTGCCCTGTGCCCATCCCTGTGCCCTGTAGCACCCTAACACTCAAAAGGGGCAAAAGAAAGGGAGCAGGTGAAGGAGGCTGAGAAGGAGCGTCCCAAGAGGTAGGAGGGAAACCCAGAGGGTGGATGTCCCAGAAAGAGAGAAACAGTATCAGACGTGCCTCTCCTTGACACCGTTACCTTCTGGCCTAAGGTATGGTTCTGGGGTGGGATCTGGGAGGGAGGAGCCCTCAGCCTCCCCCTTCCCAGCTCCCCTTTCCTTTTCTTCCCTTGCTTTGCCCTTACGGCTCCCCCCTCCCATCCATCTCCCTCTCTCTCCTCCCCTGTTACTCACCTTTCCTCTCCAACTTTTGCCTCCTCCTACCTGTAGGCCCAGGCAGAAGCCAAGAGGGAACATGAAGGGGCTGTGCAGCTGCTGGAGGTAGGGTCCTTGGAAGTGGCCACCAGCAACACCAGTTTGGGGAGAAGGCAGGGACGTTCAGAGAGGGCTGGAATGGACTGTGTGGGTGTGGAGGGTGTGGGGTTAAGGAAGGGCCCTTAGGTGCTCCAGAGCCTCGGGAATCCCTTCCACTATTGGCCTACTTCTTAGGCAGGGGCACAGCTGGGCAGGGGCTCCTGGGTCTGGTGGCATCAGCCCCCACTACCCCCCACCCCCAGAGGCTGCCTTCACCTGAAATACCCTTCCATTTAGGAGCTGCTCAGTCAGTCCAGGGAGCCGACCAGGTGGTGTCCACTTGGGCCCTTGCTCCCTCTCTGCGCGGTGACCCACAGGGTGAAGGGTTCTAACCTGTCCTCTTTGCTTTCCTTTCCTGCCACAGTCGACCCTGGATTCCATGCAGGTACAGCCTCCTGACCCCCCACCTCCCTGGGTTGTCCCCTCCCATGCACCTGTCCAGGCTGCCTGAGCTGGGTCTCCTGCCTCAGGGCCCAGTGGTCCCAGCTCTCATGTGGAACAGAGGAGGGTGTAGCAGACCCGAGGACCTGTAGAAGGACTGGCATTCCTGCGGGACGTGTGGGCCACCTCCTCGGCCCAGAGCTGCCACAGTGCCTGGCAGATGCGGGGCCGACCCTCCTCTAAAACATAGCCGCTCAGACCATGAGGAAGTTCCTCACCAGTCTAACCCGTGACCCTCTTGATATTGGCCAGGAGAGAGTCCCAAATGTTGGGACTTTTCTGATACTTGAGAAAAATTCTTGAGAATTGGCTCCTTCCTGCCATAAAGACGTCCCTAGCTCCTGTGCAGGATCTCTCTTGAGGGTGGGGATTTGGGTCACTGACTGAGAGGGTGACAAGCAGCAGAGCCAAAGAAACTCCTGAGGAGATACTGGCAGTGGAGCCGGGAGTGGGAGCCATTCCTTTTGGCCCGGAAGCGACAGGAAGGAGCGAGTGCCACTGCCTGGGGTGTGAGGGTGTGCGGAGTGGGGGGTGGGTTTAGCCCTTCTCGGGAGGGTTGGGAGTGAAGCCCGCCCACAGCTCTGGTGTTTCACCCCCAGCTCAGACACTGTTAAGGCAGTGGGGCAGCCGGGTGAGGGCTGGTGCCCAGGCCTAGGGCTGGGTGGGTGGAAGCTGAAGCCTGGTGGTGGGGGCTCAGGATGGACTGGGCAGCTTTGCTGGGCCTGGTGGCTTATGGGAGGTCTTGGCCCAGGTCCGGGTTCGAGAGCTGGAAGAGCAGTGCCGCAGCCAAACAGAGCGCTTCAGCCTCCTGGCACAGGAGCTCCAGGCCTTCCGCCTGCACCCTGGCCCCTTGGATCTACTCACCTCTGCCTTGGGCTACAGTACCCTTGGGGACCACCCACCACCCCCCTGCTGCTGCTCTACCCCCCACCCCTGCCGTGGGTCTGGCCCCAAAGGTAAGTGGACCCCAGTGACATTTTGTCTGGAATGCTTTTGTATAGAGCAGAGACTTCAGGGTCAGAGAAAGCGCACAACTCACCCAAAGTCACACGGCAAGTTAGGGCCAGGCTGGAATAAGGCTCTGATGGGGGAGAAATGAGATCACAAGAGTGGCTCTCCTGGAGTCTGGCCAGGCATCTCAACCACTGCTCCTCTCCTTCAGCAAGACCTCTGTGGTTATGGCTGGGAATTGGACACTAGGAATCAGCAGCCAGCAGTAAGGATTTGTAAAGAGCTGGGCTGGGCATCAGTCAGATCCGGAATCCCCAGCCCCTCTCACTTAACAGCCCATGTGATTTTGAGTGTGCTGCTAAACCCGTGAGCTCTGGTTTCCTAAGCTGTAAGATGGGAATAATTCAGTGCACTTCATTGACCTGCTCTGAGGATCATGCGAAATAATGTACGTAAATCACTTCCACCTCTACTTAGTAAGTTTTCCTCAAATATTTCCCTCTTGTAAGGAAACGTGGCTATGGAGGGCCTGACCCCATATCCAAGCAGCCACCCCCACCCTTGCTCCCTAGTCCCTCCTCAGGTCACAGATCCCATGTGCCATCTTCTGTTTAGACCTTGACCTCCCTCCGGGCTCTCCTGGGCGCTGCACCCCAAAGTCTTCTGAGCCTGTCCCTGCAACCGTTGTCGGGGTCCCTCGAAGGACGGCCAAGAAGGCAGAGTCCCTCTCCAACTCCTCTCGCTCTGAATCCGTCCACAACAGCCCCAAGTCATGCCCCACACCCGAGGTCAGTGCTGGGGAGGGGCCTGGGGTTGGCCCTATTCTCCTCTGGGGTCCCCAGGGGTTGGGTGGCTGCTGGGCCTTGTGGGGGCCCAAGTTGGGAAGTGGAGCCAGGCCCTGGGAGAGAAGGGCCTGCAGATTCCTCTTTATGGGCCAGGAGCTCGGGTGGAGGCTGCCCTGCTCTCCAGGGCTCACCTGCCGGCCCTACTCTGGGCCGCCCAGCCCCACCCCTCTGGGGCTCACAGAGGCCCTGGAGTCCTGAGCCGGATGGAGGGAGACGCTTGGGCACCAGGATCCATATAATGAGACTGTTCATGTGAGTGTCTGTAGCAGAAGCAGATGGTTGTGTGAGAAAGAACACGGGTTCTGGGATTCAGATCCCAGCTCTGTTTTAGGCAAGCAAGTGTCTGACTCTTTCTGGGCTTTAGCTTCCTTGTCTGGATTTTGGAGCTAATAGGACCTGCCTTGAAATGTTGTTGTGAGGGTTACATGAAAAGATAGAAGGAAGAGCACTACTGCAGGACGCGCAGTAGGTGCTTAACATGTGGCCGCTATTATTATTACCAAGTGCTTGATCACCTTGTCCCTCTCTCTACTTCTTCCTAAACCTCAGAAATCCCAGGGGGCAAGGCAGGAGCAGCCCTGCTGACCGGGGTTGGGGAAAGCGGTGGAACCCAGCCCCAACCTCTGCTGCCCCCTTGTGGGATGGAACGATGGTGCGGGCTTTGGCTGTGCCGTGGAGGGGCTGCGCTGTCTGCCCCCAGGGTGCCCCCCTTACAGGGGCTTCTCAGGACCTTCTGCCTCCTGACTTCCAGCTCTTCACAGTCGGAGTGCTTTGCCGTGTTTTTCCCTTAAAGAGACAAACTGCCGTTGGACACCCACTGTGCATCAGAGTGGTTGGCTTCCTCTTCAGTGGGGAACGTGGTCATATTTACTGGGATGGTACAGTAGAGGTCAGGGCTCAGGAGAGATCCAGGTTATACTCACTCCCCTTTGCCAGGGCAGCTTGGCTCTGCCAGGATCTGCTGGCTTGGGTGCTGCTTTAGAAAACACGGAGGCTCATTGCTGCTGGCCTTATCCAGCATGTGCTGTCCTTTCCCTTCTCAAAGTGGTAGGTCCTCTGGCTCATTCTGGAAACCTGCCTGTTTTGCCGTTGGCCCTGGAGCCTGGAGAGGACTGGCCCTTTCTGTTTGCCTGCAGGTGGACACAGCCAGTGAGGTGGAGGAGCTGGAGGCAGACAGTGTCTCCCTGCTCCCAGCAGCACCGGAGGGCAGCCGCGGAGGAGCCAGGATCCAGGTGTTCCTAGCACGCTATAGGTGGGACCCTCCCCTCGGCCCCCCATTTCCCTAGTGTTTGGGGTGTATGGGAGGAGGGGCCGGGTGAAGATAGAGGCTTCTGGAGGTGGTGGGCGTCGTTCAGGGATCCCAGTTGGACATGTCCTCTTTGCCCAGTTGGGCCAGGTGGGCACAGTTAGCGCTCTACTTGACTGACGGTGAAAAACCAAGTCTCCATAAAGGCCTAGTACAGCGGGAGAGAGAAGACGGGATGTGGGGGTAAGATGTGGGTCGCTGTCCTCTTCCTCCTCTGCACCTCCTTCAACAGCTACAACCCCTTCGAGGGCCCCAATGAGAACCCAGAGGCAGAGCTTCCGCTTACTGCTGGCGAGTACATCTACATCTATGGCAACATGGACGAGGATGGCTTTTTTGAAGGTAGGAAGGTGGCAGGGTTATTCTGTCCATCCCCCTGCTTTTGAGCCCCTCTTCACAAAGACCTCCACCCACCCACACGGTCTCCCTGGCATGCTCAGGCCACCAGGACGTTTCAGACTCAGCGAAAAGGCATATGGAGACCTGGCAGCCCACACAGAAGGGGTCTAGAAAAGGGAGCCACTGTCTGACTGCAGACCTACCCCAAGCAGGGCAGGGCAGTGCCTGCCACAGTCCAGATGATGAATGGGGTCACGGGGAATTTTGGCTGATTTGCTTTTGGGCTTCCAGACAGGGCATGGCAGTGCTTAACACTAGTGACCTTGAAGTTGGGCATGTAGCAAAGATCTGAAGCTGGACTCCAGCTGGGTGTGGGGGAGGGAGAACTAGGGTCCAGAGCCCAGGAAAGGGTGTCAGTGAGTAGTCAGCAGGTGTCAGGGCCCAGGCAGGGCGTGGGCTTCAGGGCAGTGCTCCAGGGCCTGTGGGAAGCTCAGACACCTGAACAGAAGCCCCATTACTGAGACTGGGCAATAGGGTGGGGCCTGCCGAAGAAATGGTCTTGGGAGACCCAGGTTGGCCCTGGCCAGATAGCGGGGAGAACGGCCCTGGGCTGAGACTGGGTTGCGGTGTAGGCAGGGCAGGGTGAGGGCCATAACCAGGGGCGGGGATTGAGGAAAGAGGTTAGATCTGAATCCATAACACCCAAAGCTTTGGGTTTGAAAGGCCAGGTCTTCAGTGCCCACTCAGCATGCCTTCCCCGGGCCCTGCATCTGTTCTTTGAGTAGCTGCTGTGAACTGCGGGGGAAGAGCTAAACTCCTCAGAGGGATGGGTGACCGAAAGTGGGATTAAATATTTCCCAGAAAACGACTTTTTAAATGAAAAAAAACAAAAACAAAAACCCAGAAGCCAACAACTTTTCTTGGAGGGGGGCAGCAGGAACACAAATGTTCACTAAGCACAAATGATTAGAATTTGAACTATATGATCTGGGATAGGTTTAAAGGCTCATGGAGACAACAGGGGCTGGGATGCCATGTTCATCATCACACTTAGCTAAGCAACTGCTTCTTCTATGACTGGTCCTGCCTGGACTGCTGTCGGTGGTTTGAGCTTCGGGCATGTGTGCCTGCCTCTGACTAGGGCTCCAGCGCCAGCCCATCAGGGCGGTAGATGTGCTTAGCGTGGAGGCTCCTACCTTCTTAAGTGTTAGTGCTGACATTAATATTCTCAGGCTCCCATGACAAATTACCAATAGAAATGTATTCTGTGACACCTCTGGAGGCCAGAAGTTTGAAATCAAGGTGTCGGGAGGGCCACACTCCCTCTGGAGGCCCTAGGGGAGATTCTGTTCCCTGTCCCTTTCAGCTCCTGGTGGTTCCAGGTGTTTCTTGGCTTGTGACCACGTCACTCCAGTCTCTGCCTCTGTAGTTACGTTACCTCCTCCTTCTCTTCTCTCAGTGTCTCTCCCTGTGTGACTCTTATAAGGACACTTGTCATTTGATTTAGGACCCATCCATATAATCTGGAATGATCTCATCTCAGGCCCCTTAACTTAATTACATCCGCAAAGATGCTTTTTCCAAATAAGGCTACACTCACAGGATCCATGGGTTAGGATGTGGAACTACTTTTGGGAGGTCACCGTTTGATCCACTACAAGTGCTTATATTCTCTAATGTATTGAAAATCACTATTGTTTCTTCAAGCTTCCATGCTTTCCCCCCACTCCTAACATAAGCAGAGAGCGAGGGTGTTGGGGAAGCTGGAAGCCCCCCCCACTGCAGCTCAGACCTGTCTTCCTCTTCAGCACCCTCTTTCTTAAACCCTGGCCTCTGCTTTCCCTTCCTCCTAATAAGGCATAGCAGCCATTGGCTCATCTGTCCCCTGGGAATCCTTTCCCTTCTCCCAAATTAGCAGTGACAGGGCATGCTGTGTGCCCACTTTCTTCCTTCCTTGACATCCCTCTGTTGTCATGTGTTCAGGGGAACTGGAACTTACCTTTGGTCAGCGCCTGGACTGACCACCAGTCATGTTCCTAGACACAGGCTCGCTATGGGTCTTCATCCCTTCTAGAACCATATGGGAATCTGTTCTCTGGCACTTAGGCCTTTTGTGGCTGAAGAGTCCTTCCCTCACCCTGATCAGGTGGTGCTTTCCTCTCCCTTTGAGGATGTCTGTTTTCCACAAAGGGAAGTTCAAGGGCGCCCCTGTCCCTACTACTCAGGCCCTTGGAGTTTGAAAGTTTTCAAATGTACAGAAAAATGAAAGAGTAATACAGAGAATACCTATATACTCACCACCTATGTTCAACAGTTGTTAACATTCTGCCATATTTGCTTTTTCCATCTGTAGGTTAAAAATGAAAAGTGATGTAAAAGAGAGTTGTAGACATCATGACATTTCGCCTAGCCCTTCTTCAGCATGCATCTCCTCAGAACATGGTTCTCGGAGAGCCTTGTGGTGCTAGCACCTGGGAGCTTGTTAGAAATGCAGACTCGCAGCCCCACCCAGACCTAACTAAATTAGAATCTGCATTTTAACAAATCTTGAGGCGATTCATATGCACATTAACATTTAAGAAGCGCTGTCCTAGATCACCACGGTACTGTTATTACACCTACGAATATTAGCAATGACTCCTCTACTGCAGATGTTGAGTGTTCTTGCCTTTTAAAAGTGCTCACAGATAAATGTTGGTTTGGATCAAATGCTTAAGATCACCCACTAACCGTTGCTAAAATGCATTTATTGGACTGGTTTTTCTCTACCTCCTCTCTGTCTTCCCCTTCCCTGCCCTCCCTCTGCCAGGGGAGCTCATGGATGGCCGAAGGGGCCTGGTCCCTTCCAATTTTGTAGAGCGTGTGTCCGACGATGACCTCCTGACCTCCCTCCCTCCGGAGCTGGCCGATTTGTCCCACAGCTCAGGCCCCGAACTCAGTTTCCTGAGTGCAGGCGGGGGTGGCAGCAGTAGCGGGGGCCAGAGCAGCGGGGGACGCAGCCAGCCCAGACCTGAGGACGAGGCTGCGGGGGATGAGCTCAGTCTGAGCCCCCAGCCTGAGGGCCTGGGCGGGCCCCCTGCTGTGCCTTATCCACGGGGTCTGGTGGTCCTCAGGCAGCTGGCCCACAGTGTGGTGCTGGCCTGGGAGCCGCCTCCTGAGCGAGTGGAGTTACGCGGCTACCATATCTGCGTGAACGGGGAGCTGCGTCAGGCCCTGGGGCCGGGGGTGCCCCCCAAGGCTGTGCTCGAGAACCTGGACCTGCGGGCCGGGCCCCTCCGTGTTTCTGTGCAGGCCCTGACCAGCCAGGGCAGCTCCGACCCTCTTCGCTGTTGCTTGGTGGTGGGTACCCGGGCCGGGGTGGTACCTAGCCAGCTGCGGGTCCATCGACTGACAGCCACGTCTGCTGAGATCACCTGGGTGCCCGGCAATAGCAACTTGGCCCATGCCGTCTACCTCAATGGGGAAGAGTGCCCCCCTGCCCGCCCCAGCACCTACTGGGCCACCTTCTGTCACCTGCGGCCTGGCACTCTCTATCAGGCCCGAGTGGAGGCTCAGCTCCCACCTCGAGAGTCCTGGGAACCAGGCTGGGAAAAGCCGGAGCAGCGGGCTGCCACCCTGCAGTTCACCACACTCCCAGCAGGTATGCAGGCTTGCTTGGGCTTTGACGCTCTGTAATACTCAGAAGGCCAGACCAGGGGAAGTGCATTTTCAGGGAAGTGGGAAACGAGGCTGGTGCCTCTGCAGGTGAGTGTCCTGCATACCTGGGTCTGGTACCGTCCCCCCCTCAGGCCCACCTGATGCCCCCCTGGATGTGCAGATTGAGCCGGGACCCTCCCCTGGAATCTTGATCATCAGCTGGCTCCCAGTAACAATTGATGCTGCTGGCACTTCCAATGGCGTCCGGGTCACGGGCTATGCCATCTATGCTGATGGGCAAAAGGTATGGCCTGGGGACTCTGGGTCTCTCCTTGGGATATGGGTCTCTCCTTGCCGTGCTCAGAGACCTCATCTCCCCAACCTGGCACAGAGATGCCCTGCCGCTGCCATTTGGGCACTGGGTGCCCATTTGGGCAAGCAGATAGGTCGAGGGCATGGGCTTTGAGAGCAGACAACTGTGATTCAAACACCAGGCCACCACTGAAGCCCTGTGGCCAGGAGGATTAAGTGAGATAAGACATGCCAAGGCCTTAGTGTGCTGCCTGGCATCATGCTGACTGCCGTTGCTAACCATCATCATGTCTTCGACTCAGCCACCTCCACCTCTACCCTCTACCTGCAGATCATGGAGGTGGCGTCACCCACAGCAGGCAGCGTGCTGGTGGAGCTGTCCCAGCTGCAGCTGATGCAAGTGTGCCATGAGGTGGCTGTGCGCACCATGTCACCCCACGGCGAGTCAGCTGACTCCATTCCAGCTCCTGTCCCCCCAGCCCTAGTGGCGGCCTGCCTACCAGCCACGGTCTCTTGCCCCTCACCGCGGCCAGGCTCGGAAGCCAGACCACCCCTTGCTCCAGCCTCCCCGGGGCCTGGAGACCCCAGCTCTCCCCTCCGGCGCCCTGACCCCCACGGAACTCGAGAGCCCCCCGGGGCCCCCCCAGCAAGCCCTCCCAGAGAGGCAGCAAAAGGATCCCCCGAGGAGCCCCCAGCACCTTGCTCCCAGGTACCCTGCTGGGGAGAGGGGGAACAGGTGGAGGCTGGGACAGAGGCTGAGGGCTTGGGCCCTTCCTCAGTACCCACCATTCCAGGAGGAGGCTGGGGCAGCTGTGCTGGGCACCTCAGAGGACGGGAGGGCCAGCGAGCCAGCTGTGGGAGAGAGAGCTCCTGACCCTGCAGCTTCACCACTGGCCCAGGAAGAGGCCCTTCTGGCACCCTGCTCCACCCAAGGAGCTCTCGCCCAGCGGGTGCCCTGTGCTGAGGCCTGCCGAGGAGGAGAGGCAGGGTCTGGGCTGAGGCCCAGGGCTGAGGTACGGAGCTGGGGACACACTGGGCCACCCAGAGAATTGGGGCCTGCCTCCCTCCCTCTGCCAGCCAAAATCTGGGTGTCCTCTCCATCTAGTTTCTGTTCTGGTGTGTGCTCCATGTCCGCTTCTTTGTCACTTTGTCTTCCCAGATTCCTCTTTTCCTTTTGGCTACTATCCTCTTCCCCCCACCCCCACCCTTGTGCACACCCCCCATTTGGGACATGACTCTCTCTCCCTCTGCCAAGGGACCCCTGTCATTCCAGCTAGGGCTGATCCTACTGGAGCCCCCTATGCCTCCTCAAACCCTTCCCTCTGTCTTCCTTTGTCTCACCTCTTGCAGAGGGAGGACACGGCAGAGCTCGGGGTCCGTCTGGTGAACTCCCTTGTGGACCATGGCCGCAATTCAGATCTCTCAGACATCCAAGAGGAGGAGGAGGACGAGGAGGAGGAGGAAGAGGACCTGAGTTCCAGGACTTGCTCTTTCCAGAAGCAGGTTGTTGGCAACAGCATCGGGGAGAATGGGGCCAAGGTAACGGGGTGAGGATGGGCTCGTGGGCCCTAGACCTCTGGTTCTCGGGTCTCTGTCCTTCGTGTCAGCAGCTGCTCCAACCACCACTGAGTGCCAGCAACATTCTAGGTGTGTGGCCTGGGCCCTGTCCCGAGCAGTAGATAGGAAGTTACTCAGGATTCTGCCCTCCTGGGAAGAAAGGAGAGGCTGAGGAGCCCTCTTCTGCCCCTTCTCCCGCTCCAGCCTGCCACATGCAGCACCCTGGTCTCCTGAGATCCTTTCTGGGAGCCTCTGGGGAGGGGTGGGGAGGCCTCCCTGCTGTCACAGGTGTGGTCTGCTCCCTGCTGCTCCTGTCCCTCGGGCCCCAACATCTGTGCAGCCTGTTCCTGGGGTGTGTTCTCTAATTCCTCCTCTGGCTGTGCTCTGGACTTGCTGTGTGGCTTTGGGCCAGCCCCCTCTCTGGTCTTTCCTCTTGTAGGAAGCTGAGGGAGGGCTGTGGGGTTGCATGGAACCCCTCCCCTCATTTGAGGACAAAGGTCACAGCTGTCTCCTCTTCCCACGGACCTCTCTTCCCCACTGCCCTTCCCCCCAGCCCCAGCCCCAGCCTGACCCCTTCTGTGAGACCGACAGCGACGAGGAGATCTTGGAGCAGATCCTGGAGCTGCCCCTCCAGCAGTTCTGCAGCAAGAAGCTTTTTAGCATCCCTGAAGAGGAAGAAGAGGAGGACGAGGAAGATGAGGGGGAGGATGAGGAAGACGAGGAGAGGCCAGGGGCAGGCTGTTCTTCTCGAGACCCCGGCCCACCCGAGTCTGCATTGCTGGGGCTGGGCTGTGACAGTGGTCAGCCTCGAGGACCTGGCCTGTGTCCCTTGTCTCCAGAGCCCTGCAGGGGTGGGGACCGCCTGGAAGACATACCCGGACTAGTTGGTGGAAGCATCCGGAGGAAAGGAAGTGGCTCCCCTGAGAAGCCCCCAAACCGCAGGCGGTCCCCAGATCCCCGTGAACACTGCAGCCGACTTCTCAGCAACGGCGGGCCCCAGGCCTCCGGACGACCGGGCCCCACACGGGAGAGGGGCAGCCCCGCTGTGGGCGAGGGGACCAAGGGTGGGCCAGAGGCTGGTGGGAGAGGGCGGCCGGCCCCTTCCCGGAGATGCTCCCGTGGCCGGGCTCCAGAATCTAGCCTGGCCGGCTGCTTCTCCCCCAAGTGCTTGGAAATCAGCATCGAATATGATTCTGAGGACGAGCAGGAGGCGGGCAGCGGTGGCATCAGCATCACCAGCTCCTGCTACCCTGGAGATGGGGAGGCCTGGGGCACGGCCCCCATAGGAAGGTCCAGGGGGCCTCTGAAGGCCAATTCGGGCCCCACCCCCTACCCACGCCTTTCGGCCTGGGAGAAGGGGGAGCCAGAGCGGAGAGGCCGCGGTGCGACTGGCAGAGCCAAGGAGCCACCCTCCCGGGTCCGTGCCCACTGCCCACCCTGGCAGCCCCCTGCCTGCTGCCGCCTGGTGGCTCTGCTTGCTGCCCACCAGCCACTCCCATTCCACACTGCCGCCTCCATCCGCAGAGGTGGGGCTGGGCCTCTGGGCTCCCTCACCCGCCTCCTCCCACCCGCATTCCACTGCTTTGCTGCTTCTGCCTGTCGGAACTGGGATGCACAATATTCTGTTACCGCTAGTCGCCAATTGCCGCCAGCCAGCCCCCTGCCTCTGGGCAGGGTGGCCCTGTGCTTAGCTTAGTTACGTCTTCAGGACACTGACGGTGATGTCCAGCATCACCCGACCCCGATGCTGAGAAGAGGCCCTCCTCTCCCATGCTCCTCGGCCAGCTCTGAGACCCTCCCTCTTCTGCACTCACCAACAAGGGTGGCCGGAGCCGGGGTCTCCCCTTCCACCCTTCCTCCCCCCGTGGGGGTGTCTGATGTCTCCGAGAGATTGGGCCCAGGCTCCAGGAGAGGAATGTTGTGTCCCGGCTCTGCTGTGCTGCTTATGCTGACGGGGCAGAGCTGGGGAACGCGTGTGGGGTCCTGCCCCTGCTGATGCCCCACCAGCGGCTGGTGTGTCACTTCTGCTCTCTGCTGCGCTCTCTTTGCAGGCAACAGAGACTGGGGAGCCCAGAGGGCAGGACAGCTCTGGGCGGAGGGGCCCCCTGCGGAGAGGGGCCCAGGCCCCCAGGACGGGCGGTACCGAGTTGGGTGAGCACCCGAGGGGGGCTGGGTGAGGCCGAAGGGGCCTTTCCTGACCTAACCCTTTGGTGAGACCTTACTGTCATCGCTCTTTCCACAGCCTCTCTGAGGAGCCCCCCGGCAGAAGCGCCGGTTTACCAGGACCTACCTGTCAGGGCCTTTGTGGCTCTGTTTGACTATGACCCGGTGTCAATGTCACCCAACCCTGACGCTGGGGAAGAGGAGCTCCCCTTCCGGGAGGGCCAGATCCTGAAGGTGACTGACTGATTGTCCAGGTCCCCCACCCTCTCTCCTCTCCTGTACTGGAGGTGTCCTAGCCTTCACGGGGTGACCACAGCTTCCAGAGCCAGAGTCCTGACTCTGACACTTGCAGCAGTGTAACCTTGAGTAGATGCGCTAGCTGCTTTGGACCTTAGTTTCCTCAGTGGTAAAATGGGGCTGATGTTCATGTCCACCTTCCAGAGATGGTTGAGGATTAGGTTCAGGGCATGTGGGTTACTTCAGTGGCCCGGGCACACCGCACAGTGTAACTGCTCCTGGTAACGTTACAGTTTTCACTGAGTCTCCAAGTATTTACTCCAGGCTTTTTGCTGCTGTTCAGAGGTTACAGAGATCTAGCCTGGGGTGGGCTGGGGGGATGGACGTGCAGGCAGTTAGTGATGCTGTATGAATCCTTATTCTTGGCTGTTTCCCCCTGTTTCCTGTTTCACGACTCACAGAAGGTAGAGCATTCTTCTTCAATTCTGAGTGTGGTGCTGTGGGGCTCAGGGCCTTGGAGCCAGGGAGCAAGCCGTATTGGCCTCTTGAGATGACTGGTCTTTGCCTGCAGGTGTTTGGGGACAAGGATGCCGATGGCTTCTACCGCGGTGAAGGTGGGGGTCGGACAGGCTACATCCCCTGCAACATGGTGGCTGAGGTGGCTGTGGACAGTCCCACAGAGAGACAGCAGCTGCTCCAGCGGGGTTATTTGTCCCCAGATATTCTCACTGAAGGCTCAGGTATGTCCTGCTGCTGTCCCTTACCTACCTCCCACCACCCCAGTTCCAACTCAGTCCCTCCTGAGCCACCTGTATGTCCAGGGTGGCCAAGGAACATCATTTATCCGGAGTCTAGCAGAACCTGTAGAGCCTTGTAGAGACCAGTGTGGCCAGTGTGGCCACAGCAGTTAGCTTGCCACGTGGAACGGGGGTCTGTTGCAGAGGGGATGGGCCATGAAGTTTGGGTCCTTGAGGTCTAGGATGGGAGAGGAAAGCCCTTTAGAAACTTGAGCACAAGAACCCTGGCACAGTCCAAAGAGGAGACTCCAGAGACACTATTCTGTCCCCCTCCCTTGCCTCAGTTTCTCTCTCACATATACTTGCCTTTCTGGATCAGGGAATGGTCCCTTTGTGTATTCTACAGCCCGCACAGCTGGGCCTCCCCCCAAGCCCCGCCGCTCCAAGAAAGGTGGGTGAGACCCCCTTCTCCCTCGGGGTCTGTGAGGATGAGTGGGGGTGGGGAGCACTGCTTGGCTTTCTGGGGAGACATGAGTGGGGTTTTGAGCAGGTAAAGGGAATTAGGGCAGACCTTCATCCACATCCATTCCCTCCACTGGGGAGCGTCCTTTTAATGGGGACGGGGAGTGGTTTGCCGGGGCCTCTGCTCCAAAAAGCACCTGACTGTAAATTCTGTGCAGCCTGGAGCAAGTCCTTGACCTTTTCTGGGTCTTAGTTTACTACCAAATCCAAAGGGCTGGGCTCTGTTCCCTGAACATCTTTTCTCCTGTATCCCCTGCGTGAGACCGAGCATCCTGCCTGCCCTGCACCACCCCCAGCCTGGGATGAGGAGGGAAGTGAGGGGCAGGGCTCACCTGCACATTCTCTCCACAGCTGAGGCAGAAGGCTCTGCCCAACCCTGTGCAGGTAGGGGCCATTCCTGTGCAGGGGAGACTGGGGAGAGGTGGTGTTGGGTGGCCCCTCTGGGCTCTCTCCAAGGGCTGCAGTTAGTGGAGAGGTAGTGAATAGGGGCTCAGCAGTGTGGAGGATGGTATGGTGTAGGGGGTCCAGAGAGTCTCCAGTCCTCTCCCCCTTCTCCTGCAGGCCGCCCCCAGCAGGTCTCCTCTGCCAGCTTGAAATCCTCCCGTTCCATGGTGGCTGCATTTGACTACAACCCTCGGGAGAACTCCCCCAACATGGATGTGGAGGTGAGGACCCCCACAGACAGCCCAGCCAAGGGGGTGGTGCACGGCCTCCCCAGGGCTGACGTCGGCCTCTTGGGCTTTCCACAGGCAGAGCTGCCCTTCCGGGCAGGCGACATCATTACTGTGTTCGGTGACATGGACGATGATGGTTTCTACTATGTGAGAACATGGCGGGGGGGCGGGGAGTTGCTATATATACCCCCTTCACCAGCCCTTCCAGGGAGGGCTCTACCAGAGCCAGGGACAGGGATGAGCAAGGGTTCCTGAAGGAAACCTGGAAGAATGGACCAGGCATTGACATGGACCAGGCCATGACAGTGACGTTGACCTCAGACTGTTCCCCCAGGGGCTCCAGGGCTGAGGGGGTGGGGCTGAGGCCTCTTTCCTAGTCTGAGCCTCATCAGCATCTCTTCCCCAGGGGGAGCTCAATGGACAGAGGGGCTTGGTTCCATCCAACTTCCTGGAGGGCCCTGGACCTGAGGCGGGCAGCTCAGACAGGGAGCCCGGGACATCCCAGGCCGAGAGTCAGGTCAGTGAAGAGCTGGGCTCCCAGTGAAGAGTTGGGGCTGTACCCTGCCAGAGTGGTGGTGGGGGCTCAGACAGTGTTGTGGGAGGGGAGCAGTTGGCTATAATCTGGGGGAGCACTGTGCAGGGTGAGGCTTCGAGGGAGAGCCCTGCCAGGGCCAGCTCCCTCCCAGTATGTGCCTCTCTCTGCAGAGGAATGACGGCTGTGACCCTGATCCCAGGTCCATCTTTCCCAGCTACCCGCGCCCCGCGGGCTGATGTTGGTGAGGGGCCTTGTGAAAAAGGACCCCTCTAGCCCTCACACCTGTAACTAGTCATAGCCCGGGTTTCAGGGAACCTCCTACCCTGTCTCCCAGGTGTCTTTTAAAGCCAGTTGCCCAGCAAGGCCCAGCAAGCTTCCTGGGTCCTTGTTCTTAGAGCTTGCTTCTCCTTGGGGTGGGTGGAATACAGCTGAGTTAACAGCCTGACGGCGCAGGGAGAGGGGATGGCTCCTGGCCCCAGTGGGAAACCCTGGGCATCTGTCCGCAATATTTACAGAAGCAAAGGCTGTGCAAAGCAGGACCAGTTCCTGCGAGCTGAGTGACCTGGTGACTGGGCAGGGAGTATGTGAGTCAGTCCATAACCCAACTCCTCTCTTTGTTCCCTGTTCTTCAGAGAATGAGGAGGAGACGAGTCCAGTGCTAGATGGAGATAGATATATATAGAGAGAGCAACATGTAAGTGGGGGACTGGCCCCCTCTGTTCATGTGACTCCCCACTCCTTACGTCACCATAATCAGATAGCACTCCTTTGTCCTGAATACTGGAGCTGACCTGGCTTCTCTGCTTTCTCCTAGGGATTGGGGGAGGGAGATCTTGCTGTGGAGCCAGATCTGGGTGCAGGATCATCCTCTCCTTTTGTTTTTACCTTGGGCAGTGCCAGCTGCTATAGGAATACATGTCATTTTAATATATAATGCCCCATATTAGCTGACTCCTCATATTCTATAGCTCATGCGGCTTATAGAATGTGGTGTAACATCCATATTGTGACTCATCTGTGTATTATGATACCATATGACTATGGTATTATAATATTGTGATTATTATTGGTGACAGAAGGATGATACGGTAATTCCACCAGTAATAATAGTCTCCCCACCCTTGTCCTCTGCATCATGACCTGTTAGGGGATCAGATGCATGATTTTACTTCCAATTCTCAATTTTCTCTGCCAGAGAGAATAAAAGGGGGGCTTAAACGATTGAAATGCATAGAAAACCCCAAACCATTCATCTCTGGGGCTCAGAGGCCCCTTCGTTTGTTTCCCCAGCAACCCCTCCCTCCTGGGATGCTATGAAAGGAGCCCTGGGAAGGCGTGGCTGGTTAGTAGTAGACACCTTGGCCTCTAGGTGCCGGCAAACCTCTTTGAGGGCAGGCCCTGCCATGTCACCAGGGCCTTGGGTTGGGGGGTCCTAGGCTGGGCACCCAGCTCTCCTGCCTCTGGTCTGGGCTTTATGGCTGGCTCTGGCCAGGAGACTGCCAGGCTGTGGTGGTGAGTCGGGGGCAGGCATTGAGGAAGGGACTGGAGGGCAGGGGTGGGGAATTCGTTGGCCGGCAAGATCTGATTGGGCTGTGCCAGGCACAGGAGGTCGAGGTAAGGATGTGGGAATGGGGAATAGGGGTAGGGAGGCTTCCCGGTGGCTCTCCTGTTCACCCAATCCCTGTCCTTTAGGCCACTAATGGCACTGGCTGGGCCTGTGCCAAGGGGAGCCATTCATGGTTGCCAGTGGAGCTAGGAGGAGGTTCAGCAGGGGACATATGCTGACAGAGGCAGCAGGGCAGCCTCCAGAGCTAGTGGTGGGGCTGAGTGGTGTGGCTCTGGCCCTGGCTCCCCACAGCCCTCGGAGAGGTCATTTAAGGAAGAGTCCCAATCTCTTCCTCATGGGACTGGAACACTGCATCTGCTGGACTGGCTGAGCATGCTGCTTCTGTCTGTGAGGCGCTGCAGGAACTGCTTTCCCTAGTGGGGCAGGGGGGTGGCGGTGGCTGCTTCTAAGTGGTCCAGGTCTTCCTTGCTGGGAGGGGGTGACATGGGGGAATTGGGGGCACCCATCCCGAGGGGTAGGTCCGAGGACTCCTGAGCTCTGTCAGCCCAGTACCCTTTAGGAAGACCCAGAGAAGGGGAGCGGCTTGCCCAGGTTCTGGAAGCAGAACTGGACTCTATGTCTGTCCCTCTGACTCCCAGCTTAGTGTTCCCTCAGCATTCACCCCTCTGAGCTCTGTGTGTTGGGGGAAGTGGGGGGGGGGGGTAGTGGGGCTCTGGTTCTTGACCATGGGTCTGTGACATGGAGGGCTGTAAGTACCTGAGATTGTAGGGCGAAGGTGTCAGGTTGGGGCAGGGAGCCAGGCCTTGACCTTGTCCCTTTTCTCTCACATTTCAGGACTGGGCCAGCTCAGCACAAGGGCCCCTACTGCCCAGAGGCTGGTCCTGTGCCCCTGGCCCTGGCAGCTTCCCCACAATTGAACTGGGGGGGCCACAGGGCACAAGCGAGAAGGTGTGGGGTCTCCTCTCCAAGGGAAAACAGCTCCTAAGGAAACTGGGCTCTGGGAAGAAGGAGTGATGCTGTGGCCCGTCTTGCAGGCAGAAGTGGCCCCCTGAGGCCCCTGGGGTCACGGGGTGGGGAAGGCCTTGGACGCCCATTCTTCTGAGTTAACGCTGTGGCACTTGGATGGGAATCAGAGACTCTTTGAAGGTCAGAGCTAGATGAGTCCTCAAGGATGAATCCTCTGGAGGGGCACCTTCCTCTTATAGGAGGGGAAACTGAGCCGCAGAATGAGGAAATCACTCGGTCAAGGTTGCTGAGCACCTCAGTCACAGAGCCAGGACCTGTGACTCCCCGTCCATCCACCTATGCCTACTTTCCCGCCACACGATGCTAGTCCCTTCTTTGATCCTCCCCGCTCCGATGGCGCAGGCTATCCTGACATGTCTTCCTTTCCCTGAAGGCAAGTTTGCACTGGATCCCCTGGAGCCCCCCTCCCCACGGGGCAGGCGGGCGGAACCCTGTATATATGTACATACTCAGTGCCTCAGTCCAGCCTCCTCCACCTCGCTTCCACCGCACAGGCCCAGGAAGGAGACAGGCCATGCCAAAGCGGGCCTAACCCCGCTCCATAGTGCTCCACCCCTCCCTGCCAGCCCGGCCTCCTGGCCCCTGTGTGTCTCACCCCCAAAGGCCCTGGGGCCAGCGGGCAGAAAGCAGGAGTTGGGTTTGCCTTATTTTGCTCATTGGATTCAACTTCTCGTTTGCATCATTTTCCTCTGGCCCCTGTTGGAGTCTGGGGGCTGAGGAAGAGGACAGATTTATGCAGCTATTTTCATACATTCCCTGTCCAGAATGGGGTAGAGAGCTCTCCACCCTTACCCTCACCACCCCCTCTAACCCTGCGGCTGGGTGAGTGTCTCTGCATGTTTCCTTCACTGTGGTGGGAGATTGTTCGACTGAACCCCCACCCCCGGCCTTGGTCTCCAGGGGTGTGGAATGGTGGGGGTATTTGTTTAAAAAGACATTTTATTATAATAAAGTCTATTTTCGCAAAACCCATGCTGGGCTCTAACTGGGGCAAAGGACTCCTCGAGGGGCGGGTCGTGCTGGGCTTTGCACTTGACTTCGGAACTCAGAAGTTACATCCGGGGGTGACTGGGGCAAAACCAATGGACAAGAACACCAAGCAGCTCTTGAGTTTCTTTTCCACAGACGGTGTGGCAGCTTCCCGAGCCCCTGGTGGCAGGGCCGGGTGTTTGGAGTTGTGCGGCGGGGTTCTGGTGGGAGAAAGAGACCTGGCGAGGGGGCGGGAAACCCCAGAGAAGGCACCAGTTTCAGGGCGGCAGACTGAGCACCTCCTGCAATGTTGATTTTCCTGTACTAAGTGCATAGAAACAACAGATGTAAGAAAAATGCAAGGAAACTATATAGTTCCACTTGAAAGCAGGAGGGCGGGGTGGGGGGGACTCTTAGTAGACTAGAACAGCAGAGAGAGGACAGAAAAACAGATGGGAGAACGTCCCCAGAAACCTCAAAGCAGGGTGTGTGTGTGAGTCCCGTGTGCTGCTCCATGCCTAGAGGTGGCGCGGACAGAGCAGAAGAAACCCTGGGGGCTACTGACAGCTTGCTTAGTCCAGATTCTGTGTGGGGAGCAACCAGGTCAACTGACTGTTGCACATTCTCCTCCCCAGGGGCCAAGGGGCAAAGGTGAGGGTGTGTGTCTTTATTATTTATTTATTTATTTATTTATGTTTTGAGAGAGAGAGGCAGCAAGTGAGCAAGGGGCAGAGAGAGAGAGAATCCCATGAGGGACAGAGATAGAGAAGTGGGCTTACCCAAAGTGGGGCTCGAGCTCGAGGGCGTCTGCCTTTAGATACAACAGCGGGAGTGGCAGCGTAGGTCAGAGACCAGGTGGTACTCTAGGTGGTTGGCGAGACCCAGGAGAAACCAGAAGTATCACTGCCCAGGCGAGGAGCCACCAAAGTGCCCCCTCCCTCTCTCACCGAAACCCTGCAGGTCAGCAGCCTTGCTCACCCTGTCTTGCAGGGGCTCTCAACTACTAAGGCCAAGGCAAACTCAACATTGAGACTCGACAAACATCAGTTGGGACAATGTGAACAATGTTGAGCCTTCTGACCTATGAACGCAGCACATCTGTCCATTTCTTTAGGTCTTTAATTTCTCTTGGTAATTCGATCTTGTCCATCTTCTGTCCAATTTATCCCTAATTATTTCATTTTTAACAATTTTATTTACTTTTTAAGTTTATGTATTCATCTTAAGAGAGTGCGAATCAGGGAGGGACAAAGAGAGAGAGAGAGACAGAGAGAGAGGGAGGGAGAGAGAGAGAATCCCAAGCAGGCTCCACACTGTCAGCAAAGAGCCCGACAAGGGGCTCAAACCCATGAATCATGAGACTGTGGCCTGAGCTGAAGTGGGATGCTCAACTGAGCCACCAGCTGCCCTAAGGTTTTATTTTTAAGTAATCTCTACACCCAGGGGTACCTGGGTGGCTCAGTGGGTTAAGCGTCCGACTTCGGCTCAGGTTGTGATCTCACAGTCCATGAGTTTGTTCGAGCCTTGCGTCAGGCTCTGTGCTGATAGCTCAGAGCCTGGAGCCTCCTTTGGATTCTGTGTCTCCCTTTCTCTCTGACCCTCTCCTTCTCACACTCTGCCTCTCTCTGTCTCTCATATATATAAAGGTTAACAAAAATTAAAAAAAAAATCTCTATACCCAACGTGGGGCTCGAACTCACATCCCCAAGATCAAGAGTCACAGGCTCCACTGAGCCAGCCAGGCACTCCCCTAATTATTTCATATTTTTGATGCTATTATAAATGGTATTGTTATTTAAAATTTCAGATTCTTGGGGCGCCTGGGTGGCGCAGTCGGTTAAGCGCCCGACTTCAGCCAGGTCACGATCTCGCGGTCCGTGAGTTCGAGCCCCGCGTCGGGCTCTGGGCTGGCGGCTCAGAGCCTGGAGCCTGTTTCCGATTCTGTGTCTCCCTCTCTCTCTGCCCCTCCCCCGTTCATGCTCTGTCTCTCTCTGTCCCAAAAATAAATAAACGTTGAAAAAAAAAAATTAAAAAAAAAAAAATTTCAGATTCTTTGTTCTTAGTATATAGAAATACAACTGATTTTTATATTTTGGCTTT